GCCACCCGAGGTCAAAATCTAGACAAGAAAAGGTGTTGCCAAGCTATCAGACCTTTTGTGAGCCATCTGAGGGTGAAATTTGGAGGAGGAAGGTGCCATTCCAACATGGCAGACCTTTTGTGAGCCACCCTCGGGTAAAGTTTAGAGGAGGTAGGAGCCATTCCACCACAGCTGCCCATTTGTGGGCCACCTGATGGTGACATTTAGAGGAGGAAGGGGCCATTCCAAGGTAGCAAACCTTCTGTGAGGCACCCGACGAAAAATTTAGACGAGGAAGGTGCCATTCATAGCAGACCTTTTGTGCCACCTTAGGGCAAAATGTAGAGAAGGAAGGGCATTCCAAGAGAGCAGACCTTTTTTAATCGCGATGTTAGAATTTAGAAGAGGAAAGTGCCATTCCAGCATAGCAGGCCTTTTGTGAGCAACGCGAAGGTAAAATTTAGACGAGGAAGGTGCCAATACAACATAGCAGGCCTTTTGTGAGCCGCCCGCGGGTAAAGTTTAGAAGAGGAAGGTGTCATTCCAATGTAGCAACATACCGTAACATACCTGTGTGCGCAAGTGAGTCTCAGCGTGGGCAAAGGGTTCATGCATCCGCTAGTGAGTTACTTTTACGCGCGCAAGTGATGTTTTGGACATGGCCTCTTCACCATCAAGTAGGTACATCAAAACGCACTGCCGACATCGCTTTCGCAAGTGAATCGAGTTTTGCATGCGCAAGTGAGTTGTGAGCCAAACCCAACAAACACCACGAACAACATGACGCAAGCAGCCGTGCACAGAAACATCCAAGCACACGCCCTTCCCCAGCCTCCCTCCAGCACCACGAAAGCCACATTGCTTAAAGGTCGACCACGCTCCACTGCGCCGGGCACCATGGCAATCTGCACGACTTCTTCCACCAATGTATTTTGTTTGCTACGACAGCTGTTCCTCTTAAGTGTCAGCTCCGCTGCCGAAGTTGTTTCTCTTTCAAGCTCAGCCACTCACTCCACCTTGTGTCCGCTTTTCCTTTCCCTAGGTTGCCGTAAATAGCAACGAATTGTGCAGCCCCCAGGATGAAAAATATTCGCCTTCCAGCCAGTAGCCCACTAGACTGTGCAAAGAGGATGAAGTCAACATCCTACATACGAGCAATGTTATTCATAAATCAATTATATACAGACATATCACTTAATGAGTTGTGATTGTGATTGTGATCTCAAAATCGTTTCAGAATCCTGAAGGCGGAACACTAAGGCAAGGAGATCAAACCCACTTCGACTTCAAACACGGGGCCACAGCGGATGTTCCACACAATGAGCCTTGGCTTGTATTTGTTTGGTCACTTTGCACAGTCAATCTTTGGCTCGACTAAATAGTTAACATGTTGCCGTGGAGACCTGGGAAGCCACTTTGTGGACTGTGGCTTCGGAGGTGAGCCATTTGCACAGTTCAACTATACCACTTGCCACAAATCTGAATCAGAATGGTGAAGCTCCACCTGCAGTGCGCCAGCAAGGGCCAAATTGAGTTTATGGCATACCCATCGCCTGCGCGAAACGGAGTGCGGCAGTAGCCGCCCACGTTTCCGCTCTCACCACCGGTTTGCTCAATTCCGGGAAACCCATCCCCTGGGAGCCCCGCCTACCCCTGCGTGCCTTGCAAGCAAAAAAGAGAACCTATGCGGCAACGCTGCCAAGGCTGCTTGCGTTGCATGGACTGGTTGAAGCCAAGCTGGCCATCCGATGTGTTTCAGGAGAGGTGCATGCTGAATTGCATGGACCACCTGCAAAAAGGTTGACCTCTACAGTGAGGCTGAGAATCCTCAGCCCCACCATTGGCAGACGGGTGTTTCCACCCCTTGACTGGTTTGCTTAAACACTATATGAAGGATCCTTTCAACAAAGCTCGAAGTAACCCTTGCTGTTAAGTAACCCTTGCTGTTAATTCAGCAGGCATCTGATCTGGTCAATTGCAACCTTCGGGCATGCGTGTTGCAGCCCTGTGAAACCCTTGCGATGCCTCCATCGCAAACCGACTGGACCCAGTCCCGGAGCACCAGCCGTCGTACATCCTGCGGCGCCGCTTTGGTCAAGCTGCACCAGTAATCTTCACGGCTGGGAAACCCAAATGAGCTTTTTTAAAAATTGAGCCTATCCTAAACAACCGCTGCACAAGAAGGCCACATGGGCCTGGAGCTACATCAGTGCCTCTTTGGCCTATCGGGACATCACTGGGTCTTGCAACTCTGGGACTCCGAATCGGCGAAATTGGTTGATCATTGCAAGAGGTTCTGGGTCAGTACCTGGGCGCTCGAGCAGGAAGTGGATTGTCGGTTGAGTTCCCTTGTTGTTTGTCGCAGTGCCTGCAAGAGGTTGTACTGTTGCCTCAAGAGCCTTTCCGATGTAAAACCCCTCGATCCAACTCATCGATGAATCCCAGGGACTATAGGGATTACAAATCGTTTTTCGTGCCGGATGAGACTAATTACAGGCGCATAGCTGTGTTCAGGTGGCACGCCCCTGCTCGACAGTATCTTTGATTGCGTTCCTTTTTATTGCTAAGGATGCAATTTGGAAGAACGTCATTTGGCAACCACATGAAAGTGACGGGAGGTGTGCGGCCCACTTCCTCTCAAAGTTTGCCATTTTCTGGCGAACTCACCCTGAGTTCGAGAACCGACAACCTCTTCTTTTCTGGTGTGACTGGGCAATTTTATGAACTGCTATGGGCAGTGGAGGAAAATCCAGCTGACGATCCGCCAAGGACCTGGGGACAAACGGCAACCCGTCGGCAGTTAAACTGAACGGTTTAAAGGCGTTTAAACGTTGCGTTTGCTGTTACCCTTATTGACCCGATTGGAACCAAAGCTAGATTAGATGGGTTGAGTTGGATCGCTTTGGTTGGGTGGTGGAATCGAGTGATAGTGACAAGTGACAAGTATATCTACCTGCCACAATGTTTGTGACCGGCAACAACGTGGCAAACCCGCTCAATGCCCAAACCGGTGTGAACCATGAAAATCCAACTGTTCCTCATGTTCCTTGGCAACGGTTCATGAAACCTGCCAGGGGTTGGAGTACAATTATGTGACTGGCAAAGACGGTGGGAAGGACTACGACTTCATGCTACTGGGTGGCTGCCTTGGAGGCCCATGTGTCCCCGCCAACGATCTTTATTTGTACCGAGCCGGCGCCCAAGGCGCCCAAGGCGTGTTCTTATCACTGCTTTGCATCCTGCTCTTGCGGTAGAAAAAGGGGACCTGCGTTTCACTTTGTGACCTTGCAAAGTGTGAGTTCTCTATCTTTCGCAAGACAACGAAACTGGAACAAGATTCCTTTGAGTGCCTCTTTGAGGCGTGGCATTTCGTGTGCGAATTTAAAGTTCCTTCTCGATGGGGCATGGCCATTTGCGGCTTGTGATTTTGCCAAAAACTGGTTAAAGTTAAGGTTTGCAATCATGTGGAGATTTGATGAGATTTGTTATGAATATCCAGGATATGCATGTCACCTTCAGCTGGGCTGCACTCTGATTCGGCGATCGCCGGCACCATCAAGGTTGGCCACATCCCTTGGAAGATCGAAGAATCCACACGACAATTGCTTGCAAATTTGTCAACCGGAACTCACAGTCTATATATTCATTATTTTGCTCCATCACCGTCATCGATGGAGGTGATGATCCGGTGGTTTGTGTGACCACCGACGGCCGAAGACCCGTGCCACGACGCAGACGGGATCACCGGCACTTGCTCCGCGAAGGCGTAGAGCGAGCGGCACGGAGCAGGGCAGAGCGGCCCTGATCGAATTTCTGATAGGCCTAGTAACAAGGGCATCGCTACTCATAAACCTATTTGCGATGGCCTCCACCCTAGAAGCGATGGCCTCCAACCTAAAGGCAATGGCCTTCAACTTGTTTATTGTTTGTGTTTCCATTTTTGCTGATTTGTTCCAATACACAGGGATTCCCAAGTGGAAGAAGGGAGGAAGGTCAAGCGCCAGTACACGTTAACATTGATACGCGCTGAGCCCAGTCGGAGTTTTGTGCCTTGCTCATGGGATTTTTGTTTTGAAATGGATGGGAAATCGTAGTTTGAATTCTAAAGCTTGAACAATGGTCTACTGTAGCTGCGCTTTGCACCTACAGTGGCTGGTACGAGTATACCGCACACTGCTTCCAACACATACATAGAATAGAACAAAGATGAACAATGTCAAAAAGACGGAACAGGATCCCAAGATCAATCACCCGTCCGCGGGTCCAAGATGAGAGGACGACTCGGGCGCATCTTGCGACGTCTTGGAGTTCGGAGTGGAAAAAGGCCGATCGAATCCCAGACTCTTGCTGAAGGCAAACAGCATGTCAGGAGTCAGTCAGAAGAAAGTCAAACCTTTCTTTGCAACTAAACCTCTCAGAGAGTAATTACTACATGTAATTACAGTATACCCACGCACATCCCCTAATGGTAGCAGTCTTATGACATCTTACGACAAAAGGTTTGCTCTGAGACGCCCAAGCTCCCAACTGCCAAATCTGTTGATATTGGGACACAAGAGTGTCGCTCAGCTCTCTTTGCTGCAGCTTTTCTGGTTTTATGAAGCCGTCACTGTTGATTTCGGTTGAACATATTGTCACGCTGACAGATATTTGAACAGCTGACATGCTGCTGAACCATGCTGAAGTAGCCTAGCGGCCGAGCGCTGCATTGGAGACCTTGGTTCTTTGGCGACCCCGACAGGGTCTTTGCACCCATGTCAAGTTCAGCAGCTTGTTGATCAAGATGAATCAGATTGAGCAGGTAGTAGCTATGTGGCCACAGGTCACCACCATTTGTGACATAAAAGTAATTTGGGTTCTGAAGCTGCATTTGAAGCCTGTCCACAGCGTTCCACGAGTTTTGGGCCTTTTCAACGTTCCAAACCAGTCAGATACACCGAGTCTTTACGTCCCAACGCGTCATCGTCAGCATCGCCTCATCACTCTTCTCCGGTTCCACCCGGCGGACAGCGTCTGCGGCCATGGCGGAGGACGGTCGTGGGCTGCGCGAGGCCGTCGCAGCTGCGTCGTCGCAGTGTCAAGAGCTTCGAGCAAGCTACGACGTTTGCTTCCTCTCCTGGTACCGCAGCAGCTTTTTGGCCGGCGACTTGAAACATGATTCTTGCAGCAAGATCTGGGAGGACTATCGCACCTGCGTCCTGAAAGAATTGAAAGGAAGAGGTTGGGAGAAGATTGCCCAGTTTGAGTACAACATGGCTTCAGACTGCGATGCGTCCACACAGCGGCCCCGGCGATCTTGGTGAAACACACGCTGTGTCTGGCAGCTTTTGTGGTCACCGAGGGCCAGAAGAGCGGATATCCCTTGCCATCTTTGACCTACCCAGTCGGTTCCGAAAACTCTGGGAATCTCTAGCTGGCGTCACAAGCGGAGACGATGTTGACTCTGCCCGTGGCGGACGTCCGGTGGCACCTTCTTCACCAAGCATCATACGCAGCCCAAGGCTCATAGACAGCCCGCCCTGCGCACGTGGATCTACGCTATGGATTTAGCGCAGCATGGCCTGGATTGATTGCGCGTGGTGCGCGCGGTGCTGCAACTTGTTGACTTCATTGAGGATTTGGTGGACCATTGAGTCCTGAGGCAGATTGTTGCGACATTGAACAGATCGTTTGTCCCTCAAGAAGTGTGCGGTTTGTGGTCCAGGCAGTATATTCTGCTAGAGAGGAAGGACTCAGTGTATTCTGTTCCTTTTTGCTCCGTAGCCTTACAGACAGACATGAAAGCAATGGCACGCAAGCCCCGGGCACTGTAGCAGGACACCTCTACAGACTTTCAGAAGGCGCCGTGCCCGCTTGCGCCAGGCGCGTTTGTCTCGGAAGTTCCGCTCCCGGAAGTTGCAAGACAGACTTCCGAAACTTCGGTTTTTAAAGAAACATATCAACGGAATGGTTATGACATGTTATGATGTTTCTTTTCTTTTGTTCATTTTTGGGATACCTTTCAGACATGTTATATGTTTTTTTGTTTTATGCTTCCGCTCCACATTAGTGTTCTGTGCCGATCTCCGTGCAGAGACACACGTCGTTTCACTCTTTCTCTAGCAGATTTCACCGACTTTTGCTACCCAGAAGAATGCTATTGGGTTGGAGGCCACGGCCATCGCTACTATAAGGTGGAGGCCATCGCTATAGTAGTTTTGTTTGTGTTCACTATGACTGTCCTCAAAGCTCCTTTGCCCTGCTTTGCTGTTACACCAGCTGACAACCTGCTCGCTGGTCGTAGAAAGGACTCCCTTGAAAGGAGTTTTTAGCTTAGACTCCGCACGAAACGGGGATCTCCAAAACGCTTGAAAGTCACACCTTATGGGTCCACCAACCCCCCCCATATCCCACCCCTGTCGGAATGTACAGCGCGCAGTTCTGTTGTGTTCGACGGGTTCATTGTAGATCCGGAATGGAAAGGATGCCAAGGTCTGGCGAAAACCTGCGGACCAGTTGAAGCCCTCTTGCGATTGAAAGTAATTTGAAATGGAGTTCATGAGTTCAAGACCTTGCTCCAGTTGCTCCTTGTCGTGTCTCACAGCGTGGTAGTGTAAGCTGCAAGGTCCACTGTACTAGAAGCCGCTCTGATCTTTTTGGCAACTCCTTAGACTTGGAGTAAAGGACATGACTCATTAGAAATTCCAAACAGGCCTGAAGGTAAAAGAAAGAATGCTGACAACTTGCTTCTCGGGACATACAGGCCTTGCTACCTTCCTGTCAGATCCTTGCTAAATCCCCACACAAATAGAACAAGAAAGCCGATGATTTCTGCCAGTGAAGCATGGAAATCAGGAATGTCCCTTTCATCTTTCAGCAGATCGATGGTACCAGCCTTTGGATCGATTTCCAGCCTTGTTTATGTGTGCATTGACGTGGGAGAACTCGAGAAATGCCCTGAAGTCTTTGTGGTTTGTTCCTTTTTGGCTGCCTCGCGCGCCTTCTGCTTCGGCAAATCGGACACTGAAAGGTAAGCAAAGTTTCAGTGTTGCGTTCTTGGATGGTGTTACAATCCGAATGCTTCTTTGAATGCTTCTTAAATGGTTTGCTTTGAACGCTGTGCTTCCCGGACGTGGAAGGTGAGATGCTGTTTGGTTCCGGTTCTTTCACGGTGCAAGTGGTTGTGCAAGTGGTTGTGTTGGGGTTGCCTGCGGCTGAGGGTTGCGCATGCCAAAGGGCTGCCTGCGGAGATGCCCGGGGTACAGTTCCCTTGTGGAGGGTTTGAAATCGTGATAATTAGTTCGAGGGAATGAGTCAAAGGCAATGGAATGCAAAGGCGAGAATTCTCGAGGCTTATAGAAAATTTAGATTTCAGGAGAGCGGTATCGAGAAGCAGGGATTTCCAGATAGAGATAGAAGGGACGGTAGAAGAGCAGATTTGACAGACAAGTGTAGAGGAACGCCGATATGACAAATTTAGAAGCACACAGTGCAGACGAGTGGGCACTGGAAGTTGCACCAAAACAAAAGTGTTTTAAGCAAGGTCAGTATAGAAATGTATGCAAAAACAGAGAACATCTGAGAGAAAAGTAGGCGTTGCCGCACACCACATCGCCACATTACCACATAGTTTGCGGTGCTCCACATAACATCGCACACATCATAAACTGCAACACATTACATCACCACAGGGAAAATAAGAAGAACCACACATCACACATGTTCCTGTGATTCTTTCTCAACTTCCACCTCAAAGCCATTGAGTAGTGGGGGTTATTAATAGCGATGCGATGGCTTCCAACCTACTATATATATTTCCTGTAATAGCACCCGTGTACCCCGTGCTTTGTGGCGTGTTGCAGGCGTCCTGGATGCTGCGAAGTGCGCGAGACGGGTCACCGTTTCGGAGGTCCAGATGCCATCAGCGGTGCAAAGCAAAAGGCTTGCGAAGCGGTGCAGGACTTGCATGATACCCTTTGACGCATTGAGTATGGCTTCTTTGCCCACTCTAAACTGCAGCTGGTGTGGCCCTTTTAGCAGATCAACAGGGAACCATACACGAGTGACTGTAGTCTTTCAAGTTAGAGCACGTTTACACCAGATATGTACAGGCGTTCAATGTGCACTGTCACGTGTTTCTACGCCTCCTTCGTGGTCAGAGAGTTTGGACAAACCTGACCGCTGTTAACCTCCAACCTACTAGCAATGGCCTCCGACCTAATAGCAATGGCTTCCAACCTGATAGCCATGGCCTGCACCCTAGTAGCGATGGCCTCCAACCTAAGAGCGATGGCCTCCTCCATGGAATGCTCATTTCTGACTTGGTGAGCTTGGATGCCAATCCGAGCTTCGAGAAGACTTGGGCTCAGGCAGATCACAGAGCTGTAGTGATTTTTGTTCGTGAAGAAAAACGACACATGGAAGCTTGCACTTGGACTTGTTTGTTTGCTTCGCAGGTCTACTTGGCATGCTGCAACACACAAACAGGCAGAACAGTTTCGATGGTCCTGGTTTGCATGTAGAGCACACGAGCGTCATCGAGCGACAGGCGGAGATTGTTGGCGGCATTGTAATGGCTGCTGCTGCCATGATGTTGACTTTAGACACTTGCGGCAAGCCTTGGCTGGCCATGTGCATGCCCTGGACTGACCATACGATCGACAAGTCACGGCTTTGGGCAGCGGGGTCGAGTGAAGAATGTTCAAGCCAAATTAAGAGGGACGACACGACCAGTTGCATCCTTTTTCTGGTTTGTTGGATACGGCCCATTTTGTTCGAACGACATCATGGAGCCAGGACTCACTTCCTTCAGCGGAGAAGGTGCAACGAGCCTTTTGGCTGATGCCAGAGGCGCCGCAGACACTGAGCTTTCAGCAGACACTGTACTTGGCATTTTGAAACAACATAAGACATAGACCAGACATATACCTAAGCCTTTGAGCATTTAGGTAGGGTTGGGAGCTGGGAAAGGGGAGGCTGTGGAGCTCGCTCTGGAGAGATAGGTCGTCTTCCGGAAGAATGTGATGTCGGTCACATCGGCCGAAAACATTCAGGGATGAAAACATGATTGTGATGGACAAATCTCCTGTCCTCAATTCCCGAATCCAAGCATTGCCTCTGAATCCATCGCAGCATTGCCTCGATTTCGCCCGGGTTGGTTGTACAACTTGACAGCCGCTTTCCTTGACACCTTCGGGCCCCGGGCGATCTACACGTACTCCTCTCACTACTGAGCGCGTAAGCACTCTCTACCAGGTAGCTCCGGAGAAAAAGAAAGCACCAACTGTTGGCATTCTGTTGGCCACCTGAACTGGGTGGGTAGCTTTCGTGCATGTGGAACTCTAGACTGGATCCTGTGCGCAAGAACCAGGCGTACGTTGCTGGTTTGCATTTCACACATCATTGCAGCGGCGATGTGGATAGTTGGCTCGCCTCCAAGGAGATCCGACACTGAAACAGACGCAAGGGTCAAAGCTGTTTGTCAAAGCTGTTTGTCAAGTCGACTTGTCGACTGTCACTTGTCGAATGGCTGAGTTTGAATTTGCTTCGGTAGCCGTGCTGGCTTGACGATGCTTGTCGACAACATGTCATGCAAAGAATGACAGGACAATCATCACAGCGTTCATGTCCAGCAGTAAAAGAACCAATCTGATGTATGTTGAACCAGAAGGGCAGTCTGAAATTCCTATACTAAATGGGCATGGCCCGGCATGACATCATAATGCATCATAGTGACTGCATTGGCATGGTTTCTTCGCAAGTGTGATGAGCGAATCCACAGACTGACATGAAATTGGATTGAAGCAATGTGGGTGCCTCACTGATTTCTTTTGCACCCAACTTGAGGAAGTTGATTTTGTCGCAGGTTCCATGCAAATCTACCTGACAGGTTCCAGTCATAAACCACTGAGCTAGACGTAAACTTCACCTAGCTTTCAGACCTTCGAGCTTGTTCGCCAAACCGACTGCACTGGTTCTTTCATCCAGTTTGGAGGTCCGTGTGCGTTTGCTTCAAAGCACATCCAGAACTTTCAGGAGATGGACCATTTGAAACGAGAATTTGTCATTTGCACGATGTTGCACCCATGTTCAGTTAGCTACTAGGAACAAGGACGCTACGATCGGGGCTCCGCTACGATCGGAGCGATCGGACGCTACTAAGGGCTCCTGGCCGTACTACGAACGGAGCATCCTTACTACTAGTAACAAGAAGCTACTAGGAACAAGTGCATCGCTACTAGTAACAAGTGCCTTACTAGTAGGAGCAAGAAGCTATTAGCTTATTGTTTCTAATAGCTTCTTGTTACTAGTAACTGTTCAGTCAGGATCTGCCCTGAGCCTGGATGCGGCCGCGCTAGGCAGCGCGCCTGGCGCCGCTGGCCGGGGCTTTCGGACGTCTTTCGAGGTTGGGGGTGAAATGGGAGAGGAACATGGAGGAAGAAGTGACAAGAAACGACGAATGTAGCTTAAGGGCATCGCCACTAGCAACAAGTAGTGTAATTTGTTGTGTTGCTTGTTTCAGTGTTCTTCTTTAGAAACGCTCTTGCCACAAACCAAGAATGCTCTTTAGAAACAAACACAGAAGTGTTGTTATTTTTCCTATGTGTTTTTCTTTAAACCTCCAGACTCCAGACTTCTTTCTTCCTTCTCTTTGAAAGGCTTGGTATGAAGGGCACTAAGAGAGCCGACGTATGAAGGGCTTGGCATGGCTTGGCTTTGTGGCGGTTGGCTTGGCATTTCAAGAACAACCGCGGCAGGAACACTTTGACTCCCAAGATGGAGACTGGGAGGCCTTTGGAATGCCCAACTATTCCAAGCTAACTGGACAGGACCGAAAGCTAAAGCTAACTAGACAGGTGTTTCGGCACCAGCTTCGCGAAAGCTAGCTAGCTGCCTGCGTTGGCCAGAGTTGGCAGCTTTAGCTAGCTGAGTTTGTTGCAAGAAAGGGGAGAGGGGAGGCCTGCCACAGTGATTTTTCACTAGAAACTCGAAGAGAACAGTAGGCTTGGCACGCTTCATCGTTCATTCTAGGGTTAGGGATTACACGGTGACGCACGAGCTGAAAAACGAATTGCCGTTCAAAAAGGCGGAATCACCCAAGTCTTCGAGCTAGAGTTGAAGTTCGAGCGTCCATCTCGTGCCAACTCCAAGAGTAAAGAGTAGTGCTTTCAACATGCATGTTTGTTCTTGTTGTTCCTTAGATAAAAAAGACACGCATTGTAACTCTAATTCTAACGTATTCAAGTCTAGAGACCAAAGACACACATGTTGCCAAAGCGCTCTAGGACCTTTTGCGGGGTCATCACCATGTGCAGCATGTAGGCGCGAACTGGAGCGATTGGGGCGATCTCACGTTTGCGATTCTGCTGTCACAAGAGCACCACTATTTGTCGCAAGGGAAGCATCACAGGGTGATTGCTGAAAGCAGGGTGATTTGCGATCTCAATTTTGCCGAGGCATCTCACAATATATTTGCGATCAGGGTGATGGTAGTGGCACTAGGTACTTTTGCATCTTAAGTGTGTTGGTATGCCGCTGTCTTCAGGCGGAGCACACTGCAGCCGGGACTTTCATGAGTTCTGTCACTGGGACTGAGCGAGATACTTGTAGTGCTTCTAAAGTACGAAGAATGCGTTAGAGTATGGTGGATAAAGCTATGTTCCTGATAGATAAGTTGGATCTAGTTATAGTCCCAGCTTTGCAAGCATCTTACTCAGGCTTTATTTAGTTTCATTCTCGGCTGCATCTATGAAACACCTGGAAGAGCACTCCTGTCAGAAAGGGGCCATTTGATATCAGGCAGCTTACAAAAGTTTTCCTTTTGCACGTTTGTACTGTCTTTTTCCCCACAAGTGCTATGAGGTCACAGTGGCTATGACTACATTTGTGACACCACAGAGCCCACCTTGCATTGGAGCAAGGAGAGGTGAATGGCGAAGGGCACATGTTGTTTTTTGTTTCGCATTGCTACCAGGTTGGAGGCCATTGCTACTAGGTTGGATGCCATCACTATTAGGTTTCTTTTTTCTGTCCTTTTCATCTGATGAAGTGTCCAGGACTGTGGTGTCATGTACTACTTGTCACCGGGGTCTGGTACAGGCTGGCACATTTACAAGCACCTCGATCAGCAATTCACAGAAGGACCACACCAAAATGTATGTCAATCGCATTCTCTTCGAAAAGTGACAGGTGACCGTCTAATTTATGAACACCATGCACAGTCAGTATCTCCGTTATGGGCTGTCTTTGCAAGATCTGGCTCTTGCGAGAGACCTCTACTCTGACGGCGGTTAGATATATAGACTATAGATCTTTAAGATCCAACTAGTGAAAGGGAACAAGAGAGAAAAACAGATAAACAATCTAGAGAGAGAATGAGAGATGCAGCATCTCAGATGCTTCTCCCAAAAACCTCAGATGATTCATGATTCCGTTTTTGTTTTAATTTGACGGTCTTTTGACTCAATCCCTTTCAAGGCGCTCCCTAACGTCACACTAGGATACTTTTAGGTCAGAGAAAAATATGACGACCTGAGCCAAGCAAAGAAGACAATGTCTGAGCCCAGCAGAGATGCGTTCAGATGCAAGATTAGTTGTGCGAGTTTTCTGGCAAAATCCTTTGCAAAGTCGTAAACGCAACGTCGTAGAGCCTTTTGTGAGGATTCGATCAGATCTGTTCGGATGTGAATTATAAGGCTCCTTGATCAAGTCAACTTCTCACAAGGGCTCGCAAGGGAACCGACTCTTCCGCGTGTGTTTCCAACCGACTCGTCGAAGAGAACGGGCTTGTTGGCATGCCTGAGGTCCCTAACACCCCCTTCCGTGTGTGTGGCGACCCTGTTCGAACCATTGATCTCTCAACGGCCTCTCCATGTTGTTTGAATTCGGAAGACACCCTTTGGTTCTTACATGTTCTTCCTGTTTTCTCATTTTGTCCGTTTCACGTGTTCATTGGTTTCTTCAGTGCCGCATTTTTTTAAAAAGACGTTTAGACCTTCATTGATTTTCTGTTCAAATCCTGACTGATCTGAGGTACATGTTGGGGAAGCCACCGGAGGGCTGCAAGCCCGGGGAGCACTGCGCGGCCTGTGCTGATCCTCCGGGTGAGGTTTCGTGTACCGTCCAGCTTCATGGCGGTGATTGCAAGGACGAGAGTGGCGTTGGAACTGTTCGAACGGTTTGCTTCTTCTTCGTCCCTTCCAATTGGTTTCTTGCAGATTTAGTAATTTAATTCAATGTTGTTTTAATTCTTATTGTTGCTAGTAGTAAGGCACTTGTTTCTAATAGCTTTTTTTGTTACTACTAGTAAGGCACTTGTTACTACTAGCGTGGCACTTGTTTCTCCATTGACAGAAATGTGTTTGCTCCAGGCATGTTTTCATGTTTTCACTGTGTTCGTTGTATGAGAGCTCAATGCTGCTTAGTATCTTATGACAGCAGCTAGGCAGTTGGCACGACGAAGGTAGAAAGGGCGGTTCAAGCTGGAACACATGAGGTTCGATGGACATGCTGTGACCGTTTTCTGCCAAAGAGTGTGACAAGCCCAATGAACACATTCATGGCAAATTCTGCCGTGGCGAAGCGCCAAACATGTCATGTGTTCAAGATCGCACGAACAATTCAACAAACAAGACAAACCCGCAGGTTTGTCAAATCTGTAGGTTTGGAGCACTTGTTTACACCGGCAAACAGGCAACCAGCGGGAAATCTCGAAAAAACACCGCCACCCAGCAGGTGATGTTTGACCATTCACCAGAGCGCTTGATTGGTTTGTACTGGCCACTGTGAGTAAATCGTGCGACCGAGAACCAACTTCAGTTGCTTGATTGGTGGTTGGCCGCTGTGGTAGAGCAGTGATGCACCAGGACACACACAATTCAGACACACAAATCGAATAGACCGTGCCCGAACACGGTGACATGCTGAGTTAGTCTAGCTGGAGTATTGGAACCCTCAGAGCGGCTGAATAGCAATTGGAACTCACCAACGAACTAGTTGGCACATCAGGACGGTAGGGACGGTAGGGACGGTAGGGCATGTTGTCGGTTTCAAGGTCGCTATAGGGCGTTGCCACTTTCAAGTTCGCCGCTCAAACGGCTTCCTACTGCCATGTTCGTGTGCGGATGTCACTCATCTTTTGTACCTTTGTCACAGATGTGTTGTCGCTTGCAAAAGGAGCGGGGGGAGGATCTCGCAAATCCCAGCATCAGCACAGCTACCGACTTTCCGTTGAAGCTTGGTTCAGCTTTCACTCTTGGAGTTCGACTGAGCTTGGTTCGCTGTGACTTAATCTGACTAAGGAACAAGATGACATTCCTGTGAAGCGATGCCAAAGTAGCCGCAGGAAGTTCGGTGCAACGTGCGGAGAAAAGGCTGTTCTGATGCTGATGCGACACATTTGTTGAAAGTACTTCATAGCTTGAAACACAAACATGCGCTTCTTTAGTTCTCGGGTGTCTAGCAGTCTTCTCATTCGCCCAGATGTCAGGATCCTCTCGGCATTTTGGCACTCCGCCTCTTTTTTCATGATCCTCGGCTGGCAATGCCTTGCTTGTTGCAGTTTTGCCATGCTTTCAATCGCAATCGCGTTCCTGGTGGTGAGGGCGGTGCTTCCAAGTTTAGACATGAATCAAAACAGATCGAATGTGTTTTTTCGCTATTAGGTTGGAGGCCATCGCTAGTTGGTAGGTTGGAGGCCATTGCTTTGCAACAAGCACAATTAGCTATAGCTTTGGATGCACGAGACCTTCCAAAGTGCAACACAAAAAAAAAAAAACATCCGGAAATGGGGGGGGCGGCGCCGCCCTGTACGGTGCATCAGCATTGTTCCGCAGTCTTAAGCTGATTGATTGTGTGTTTAACAAGCCGCACTACTCTTTGTTGTTGTTTGGCGTTCCTACTCTTTGTGTTTGATGGTCCTGGTATGTCCTGGTCCTGGTGTCAGCTTCACTGAGGAACTTGAAGCCCTGTGGACAGAAGACAACAAGGTGCGCAGTCGAAGCCAAGTCACTCAGAATGTCACTCCAAACTTCAGCTTGTGACTACTTCCGGTACACAGCACAGGCATAAGCGATGACCTCCAACCTAGTAGCGATGACCTCCAACCTAGTTGCAGATCGGGTGTGTTCAAGAGATTTTGATGGAAACTTGTTGTGACACGTGCAACCCAATCTGACACATGCGTTGACAATGCCCTCCATCTCACAATGCACACAAGTACCAGACAACTAATCAATACATTGACATTCGTTGACAAGTCTTGTTAAGCAGAGGCAACGAGAAACAAAGGGGCCAGGACCGGCCACCCGTCAAGCCAACTGCCATGAGCAACCAGAAAAAAACACAACACACATGTTGGAATGAAACAATTGAACAAACTGACAAAACATATTCTAGTAACTAGAAGCTTCCTTGGGAATAGTTTCACCTGTAGTAACAAGAAGCTACTAGGTTGGAGGCCATCGCTATTAGGGTGGAGGCCACTACTACTAGTAACAAGAAGCGTTTCTAGTATGTCTTTGATCGCTACTAGTAACAAGACGCTTTTTAGTATGTCTTTGAAGCTTCTTAGCAATAAAGCTTTCTAGTAGCTAGAGTGTCTAAGAAAAGATTATCAAGTTAGAAGGAAGCTACTAGTAACAAGTGCCACGCTAGTAGTAACAAGTGCCTTACTTACTAGTAGTAACAATAAGCTATTAATTTTAAACTTAATTTTAATTCTAATAGCTTTTTGTTACTACTAGTAAGGCACTTGTTACTACTAGCGATGCACTTGTAATTACTAGCAAAGGAATCTATTAGAATTAAGAGTGTCTAAGAAAATATTATGGTTAGAAGGAAGCTACTAGTAACAAGTGCCACGCTAGTAGTACCAAGTGCCTTACTAGTAGTAACAATAAGCTATTAATTTTAAACTTAATTTTAATTCTAATAGCTTTTTGTTACTACTAGTAAGGCACTTGTTACTACTAGCGTGGCACTTGTAATTACTAGCAATTTGGATTCTCAAGGCGCAGATGGACGTCCGTGAGCAGCGGAACGCGCAACGAACCTGGGGGATGATGCAGCTTGCGTTGAGCCCAGGCTGAAGCCCGGTGGAATTCAACGAAAGGAACATGTCTCATGTCTCATGTCTTGATTTCATTCATTTTTGCCAAACTAATGTTCATTCATGTCACTTTGGGTTGCTGAACGGTTTAGCTGACCAACTTCTGAGTTGCGGAAACAAAAGAAACACACCTTTGGTAGAAAGACTGTGCAGGACAAGGCTAAACTGTGTCTTTAGAGGTATGGTTCAAGGAAAGAAGAGAGCGCAATGCTGGTCGCAAGATCCTGCTTAGCCCACTGCTACAAGACACCATTCGTTGCCACCATACTTCACTTTAGCACATCGCAAGTCACAGATCACATCACATTCCCACCTTGCCTTGCGTAAATCATCGTAAATCATTGGCAGAAATGTTCGCCCACCTAGGGTTGCCAGAGATGATGTGGTAGATCTACAAAGGCATGAAGGTTTGAACGCCTTTGCGATCGCAATATCCAATATGCACGCTCCAATTGTTTTCAGTTTCATTCCCATTCACGCTATACCTGCTTTACGTTTCGGTGCCAAAGCGTTTAGAGTTGAACTTCTGTTGAGTGCAAAATCTATGAGTGCAATGTCCTCCATCATAGAGTGTTTGACATGCTGTGAAACAAGCTTCATAACATGCCTTTTTGCGTTCATCGCTATTAGATTAGAGGCCATGGCTAGTAGGTTTGGAAGCCATCGATTCAAGGTGGGAGGCCATTGCTATTCAGTTAGTATTGAGGAAATTCTTTTCCTTCCACGAGATTGCTGCAAGCGGTTGGCCAGTGCTGAATCTTGCAAAGGCTGGGAGACTTTGAAGGTCTAAGCACTGTTGAAGAGTTTCTGGTGTGGCGTAAAATGCTTGAGAACATTCCAGCACAGTTTTCCACCTGCCTGGTTGGAGGCCTTGTACACCTTCTTTGAAATCCCTTTGTCTGTGGTCCAGGACGCATGTGTCCCACGATGTCAATGTGGCAAAATGGATCGGTGCATTGGCAACCCGCAGGAGCAGGAGAGACTGCAGAACGATGCCTCCAACGATGGAAGGCGAAACCGGCGCAAGGTGTCTTCGATCTGGAGGAGGGTCCTTTTTTATGGTGTGCCAATGCGTGCCGGACTATAAGATTCGTCATGTTTGTGTGTGGATTGTCCAAGGTTGGCACCACAACAATCACAGCAATGCAATTGTTGGACATTGTGTGGTCAAAAGCGCGGTGCATTGATCGTCCGAATCCAGGTTCTTCCGACTACTTTGGGAACACGCTCCGTTGAAGAGCAGAAAGGCCCGAAGAGCTATGAATCGGGGAACAATCTAATAGCGATCGCCTCCACACTAGTAGGAATGGCCTCCAACCTAGTAGGGGAGTTTTCTGTATTCTTGTGCATGAAATGGGCAGGGCGTGCGACCTGGCCTCCAACCACAAAAAGCGATGGCCTCCACCCTAGTGACGATGTAGATACCTGGAAGCAAACCAAGTAAAGAGCATTATCCTCGGCCGGCAAGCGTCACCCCACATGCAAGAAGCTTCCTGGACACCTGGATGCGTATCACCTTCATTTCTTGCAGGCGCCCAAGGAGGAGAATCAGCGAGGGCGAGGCCTTATAAGTTATATTGCACTGGTGAAGTATTGGCCAAAGACATGGCAATGCAGCCAACCAGAGTTGTTCTTCGATTCCGGATGACCTTTCGTCGGCGGAGCATCAAATCGCCGCCAGACCTGGAATTGCAGCTGCTGCACGTTGCCCCGCACGTCTCTCTTAAGCTGAAGCCAATTGCACAGATCGTTCAGGCGGAGCGCGGACCATGTGGAAGCCTGTGGAAGCCAGTTTGGGTAATTACCTGACTACCATGAGATACCTGTGGTACCGGTACGTACCTGTGCTTGAGCAAGTTGCTGGACACTTTCAAGACGAGGACAGTCCTCCTGTTCTTTTGTAGTAGGTCGGAGGCCATCCCTCTTAGGTTGGAGGTCATGGCTAGTAGGTTGGAGGCTGTCGCTGGCAGGTGCAGCTCCGTCACGACGATCTCGAAGTCCCATCGTGCCGGCGGAGATCCTCAGCGTCCGATCTTCGCGCCGTCCATGGTCGTCGTCCCTTCGTTCTTCCTTCGTTGGGAGCAGACGAAGGGACCGGAGTAGAAACCTCTCCTGGCGAATCCCGATTCGGAGCAGAATCCGTGCTTGCAAGGGGAGGATGCGTGTTCACATTGGTTCTTGGATGAACGAACTTGTTCAGTGAGGTCATCAAGCCTTGACGATGAGCTCTCCAGAATACTCAAAGAAGTCTTGGGCGAGGTGAGGATTTTGGGACGGGTTTAGTGCACGGCAACAACATCTTGGGGATCACAGTATACTTCAATTATCGACCTCGGTCTTCAAGAAACGAGATATTTATTGACCATTTGAGCTTTTTTGGACCGAAAAGGCCACGTTCTCAATCGTTCTGTCGGACTGCTATGGACGGATATACCGCGATCACATGGTTCACCTGGCATGCGGCGGCTTGGGGCGCTGGTTCGCCCTGGCAGGTACCGTCTCTTCATCATTTGATGTTCAACACCTTTCCAGCCACACCCTTGGCGCGCGAGGGGCGTCGCCGACGTTGTGGCGAAACGAACACATGGGATGTTTGACGTTGTGCCAGCCACCCAGGTGTTAGCCCTGCTGGATCGCTTGCTGCTGCCAACTGCAGCTTGGGCCAGGGCTTGAGCCATCTTTTGCCAAAAAAACGACACTCTCCAGATCTGCTTCACGTTTTGCGCCTGCAAGAGTTGACAGGCGACAGGCTTGTGAGTTCGCGACTAGGGGAATGCAGAGCAAAAAGCTCTTCGGCAGGTCGGATTCGAGCTGTGCACTCCGCCAATGTGGCGGAATGGCTTGGCTGCGTACACGGCTGCCAGGCAACTGCGTAACCGTGAAGATCCGGTGAAGCACTTCTCAAAGTCTTGGAGTATTTCTTTGTGTTTTCTTTGTGGAAGATGCAGGCTGCATGCCAGCACCTTGGACCGCAGCCGGCGAACACGAAGCTGAAGTGTATGGCGAAGTGACAAAGGGTGTGTTTTTTTGGAAGTGACAATCGAGTCGAAGATAGCTTGCAGGCGAAGACACCGGGTGTGCAGAGCTTCAGGCTGTGTTGTGGTGATTTGCCTCAAGCATGGTCATTGCAGTTTTTTTGTGGACTGCTTAAAGACTTTGCAAGTTGCTTTTGGCTTTTTGCTACTACTGGTGGTAACAAGGGCATCGCTACTAGTAACAATCTGATTTGTGTTTTTGCTTTGTGAGCAACAAGCAGACTAGGGGCTCCTGGCCTTACTACTAGGAGCAAGGACGCTACTAGCGGCTCCTTACGGAGCATTCTTACTAGTAACAAGAAGCTACTAAAGCTGCACAAAAGTCACGCCTTCACTCGTCGTCGCTCGGCAGAGCTTGATCTACGAGCGAGACATCGCTTGCCTTGTGGATGTCGGGGCCATGTGCTGTGCCTCAGGGAACGCGCGCGGAACGCGGGCGGTGGCAAAGAGCTGGGGTCGCGGTCATTGTCAGACCGTGACAGAACAAGGATGGAAAAGGGTTAGGACAAGAAAGCTTCTTTCCTGGCTAATAAGTTACTAATAAGGCATCTGCTAGGCATTACTAGGCACTACTAATTCGGCTTCGTATCTGGTTCTCAGGTTCGGAGCGTGTGCTGCTGTAGCTGCCCATGCCTTTCGAGCCACTAACAGAAAGGCCAAAAGAGCAGGGAGAAAACGCGATTCAATGATTCAATGGCACTGTGTAAACGATCAACAGCCCAGACACAAGATGCTGGGGTCAAAGCAATATGTCCAACACAACAGCAATATGTGTTTTGTGACCCACAGATATGACCGCCTTCCCAGCAGGTGAGAGTCGTTGCGTACGAGAAGAGCCTTTCGAGTGTGCAGATACTGCGGAGGACGCTCAACGCACGTCGGTTGGCACCATGCATGCTCCGCAACCGAGCGGCACTAGGACGGCGAGTCTGGGGAACCTGAGCGTGGAGGCCCGCCGTTTGTGGAGGTTTCTTTGGGTTTGGTACTCTGTGGTACATAAAAGCCCGAGTTGGAGAAAGAGGAAGAATGGAAGAATAGAGTATAGAGTCTAGAGCTTGGCTAGATGAGGAAAGGAAGAAAGGATTGACATTGATGACAAGTCCCTCTACGTTTGTCCAACGTGGCTTTAACTTTACAACATAACTCTCCAGACTCCCAGAGACGCTCCAGGCACATGCTGTTTGCATGGTCAACACGCAAAAGGAGTGCTGGGGTTGTGAGGCGCCAGCCCTTCAGACATGTTGCTGCGCGTTGCTGCGCGTTGCTCGAACAAGGGGTTGACTCCTTTTTGGTGGATGTCATGTTCCAAGTCGCTCAGATGAATCAAATGTTCCATGGTTTGTTCCAAGTCCGTCCTTGCGCCAAAAAGTCTAAACCCAAAAGCTGAGAGCAAACGCTGCGAGCGTTTTCGCTCCAAACCCGCTCGCAACCGATGGGAATATCTCCAGGTCTGCCACACTTTAACGGAAGACTATCCCTTTGGATCAGAGGCGTGAACCACTGCCGTGAACCGTCGTGACGACCTCAAACCACCGGTGAATTATTCCGGGTCCGAACAAGGTCCGGGTTTGACGCCGGTGGTCAGACCCGTGTTTGAGTGGCTTTCAATTCCGTTTGGGGTTGTTCTAAGCCGTGACTTGAAGTTGTGATGCTATGCCATGCTGTATGCTGCTAATTTGTCGCAGTCACATTGAGATTGCAGGAGGAAACCGTACAATTCCTGTGTTCAATCCCCTTCATTATCTGCAAATGTACTTCAAACAAACACATAACATGGATAAACATGCAGACTATCAGTAAGTGTCCGAATTGCTTTGAAGGGAACCCGTGTCTGGCCTGTTGTTCCAATGTTCTTTCCCGTTAAAGAAGACAATCAAGGCCGAAGACCAGTTCTTCTTTGCTTCGAGCGTCAGTTTTGTCGGCACGGCTTGAGAGACCATGGTCGTCCCTTCGTTCAGGGTCCCATTATGCTGTGGATGAGCCAAATGAGTGGACCACTCCAGTACATCCTCAAGGCGCCAAGAGACTTTGAAGTGAAATCTGAACAACGGTTTTATCAGATCTCAGATGTTATCATAAGCATGTTATAAGCATTAAGGGTAATTAGGCCAAGCTCTTCGAGGGTCGACATGTCCAACGAGCGAGGTCCAGTTCGTCACGCGACGACGGGTCGAGTTCGACGTGTGAAAAAGAATGTCGCCAACGTCCGCCAGGGTGGGGCAGCTCTCTTCCAAAAGCAATTGCTTCACACCGTTGCAGCGGGGAACCTCTGAGAGGAGTTTCTGTTTTTCGAACACCAAAAAAGCACCCCCCAACAAACATCCCCAACACTCCTTTTTTGCCGTGATTCATGGAAAAATGGTCTTGATGGCGGGTCAATACGGATCAGTTGCAAGACATGGTCATGCTTGTGCGTGTTTTTTTCGATCAGACGTTGGCCTGAATCAAAATCCAACGATCCCCAGGTGATGACGATCCCCAAAGAGATCTCTGGGATCAAGGAGACGCTGGGCTCAGGAGCGAGACCTGCAGACTTCGTCCAATCAGCGAGACCTGAGACGATGGGCAGGATTTCACCAGACTCGGGTACAAGAATCGATGACGATTGATGGGTCAAATTGTTACTAGATGTGTCCATCGTATCAAGCTCCTGAAAGGCTTAGGCTTTGCTGCAAGCATTTTTGGAAATAGCACAAAGGCGTGAAAGAGCGAGCTATACCACTTGTGTTCGTCAAAGTTGATGTCAATGTCAGGCTATGAGTTCAAGCTGCGATGGCAAAACTCCTCGCTGTACCTTGGGCTTCATTCCGGGTGGAGGCCATTGCTATTCCCGTGACATCAGTCTGTGAAAGAAGTGACACCAGTCGAGGCTCCGTTGTGGTTTGAGCTGCCAAGCATGTACGAGAATGTATAATGTGCTGCTACCAGTCCTTTGCATGGACTACGGCTAACCGTCGAACCCTAGGGCCACAAGTTGTAAAGCTTTTGATCGAGTTCCGGGGCATTGTGTGCACTGCATTCATTTGCGCCACCGGCCCAGGCATTCCACCGTCCTGGTGGTGGCGACTGCGCGGCAGGTGCGGGCAGTTTTGAGGGAACCCCTGCCATGTCTGACAGGACTTGTGTGCTTTGCCATGCTTTGCCCCTTTTGTGGAAAGTTGCATCATTGATCTTGATGAACCTGGGCCCATTTGCATGCAGAAAAACGCTCAGATGTTCACTCGAGCTTTGTATCAGAGGATCTAGGAGAAGACTCGTTACGGGAGAGCAGATCGGTGGTTTTGGGGGGGGTCCTTCTGAGCGTTTTTTGTATGTTTTGTCCACAGAAGCTGAAAGTCTGAACTAACAGCCGTCAGCCGATGACGGATTGAATCAGTACTGCAACTTTACAGAAGTAAGGTTTGTCTGAACATGTAGAATCCCTTTTGAACAATTTATACAACGGCCATGCTCCAAAGCAGTTTAAAGTTTGAAGAACTCGGGTGCGACATGTTCTTGCTGCCAAAGTAGCTTAGTTTGAAAAAATCAAATGCGACATGGTGCTTGCTGTCGGGGTTGCCAAGTTTGAAAAACTCAGATGCGACGTGTTAGCAGTTCTTTTAACCCTGTGGAGAAGAAACATCCTGTCGGGAGTTCTCGACGTTGCAAACGTAGCTTAGTTTGAAGAACTTAGATGCTGTGAAAGCACCACTTCCGTTGCCGGTCGTTCTTTCATGTTTGGCTTGAGCATATTTCCATGCGGCCATACAGGCACAAGAGTTCGTTGCTGTATGCGGAAAACAGGTTCGTTTTCATGGCGCGTGGTCATGGCTGCTGATTCACTTTGACATTGGTGCCGCGGAGCAGTCTGGTTGAGATCCAGGAGTATGGCTACACGATCTTGGCGACCTGCAAGGCGACCATCCACTTTAAGGACCACGGACTACCTCTACCGTGAGGACATGTGAGGACCAGGGGGCGGTGACCGGGAGTGATCGGTATGATCCTCGGGACACTCCAGCCCGATTCCACTCCAGGTGGGAATGGAGTGACCAGGACTGACCTTCAGGGCAGCGATCCGTGCGACACTGAAGACCCTCAGACTCGGGAGCGGGCACGACTGATAGCTGCTTGACAGACCCCCAAATGAGGCGAACACCACTGCTATGGCTGACGGTCGTTGGTCTGGACCTGATCGGGAGTCATGACCGTGTTCACCAACACCTCGGATGGGATGACTCGTCCGGAGCCGATCGAGATCGCTTTTGAAGCCGACAGAGAAGTTGGTGGTCCCCACCTTTGATGCATGGGGAGAACAGTTTGGAGGCCGATCTAGGCCGTTGAGCCCGAAGCTCTGTGCGGAAGGCGCAGGTCTGGCTGAGGTGCACGGAGATGCCGGCGAACCGCCGGGCACTGGCTTTGTACAATGAGCTCACTGGCAAAGAACGGATCTATGCCGAGGAGCTCGACGTGGACAAGCTGGCTTCCGACACCGGTGTCTCCTACTTCCTAGCTTGGATTCAGACGAGGTTCATGGAAGTGGAGATCACCAACATTTCTTCGATGATGAGTGATTTGTTCAGGCGCGCTGCAAACGAAAGCCCGAGCATTCCATCCGGGACTTCAACGTTGAGTTCGAGAGGCTGGTGCTCAGGCTTCGCGAAGTGCAGTGCGAACTCCCGGACATGGTGAAAGGCTGGCTGTATACATAGACGAACTTCGTTTGAGCGAGCGCGAAGAGCTCACCCTCTTGTCGAGTGCAAGCAACCAGTTCGACGCAGCCAAACTTCAACAAGCTGCCCTATAGTACAAGATCAATCGAAGCCGAAGCCTTATTCTGCCTAAGAGGCCATTGGCGTAAGGACCCCGAGTGCCCTCTTCGAGGCAAAGACAAAGACCAGGTGCAAGAGGCTCAGCTGACTGTGCACTCGGCACAGATGCGTGATGCGGCGCACTCATTATGCGATGTCATGTCACCGCCAAGAATGAGGCGACGGACCACTTCGTGACGGGCAAGGTCCTGGCCATTGTGGACACCGCTTGTACAAAAGCGGTGGCAGGTCACGACTGGTTCAAGAAGTACAGTGACATGTTGGCATTCCGGACATCTTTGAGCGTGAGGAATTTTTCCGTTTTGGCGCTTCGCCTGTCTTCACTTGGTTGTTTGTGATCGCTGCCTGGTTTGCCATCGAAGGCCATGAGAGTGGCTATAGTTCCGCGCAAAAGTACTTTTTTTGTTCTCTCAGCATGTTTTGGCCAAGCTTGGCACGCAGTATGACTTAGCTGCTCAGACTGCACAGGTGACACGGTTGGAGCTGAAGGACTTCAAGCTGGTCAACGAAACCGCCTGAGGGGGACGCGCTCACTGCGGCTGACATCTTTGTCCCGTCCGCTTGCCGATACAAGGGGGGCGCAGTCGGCGCAGTCGACTGCGCGCAAGCCTTTGTTTTACCCCAAGCACCTCAATCCTGAAGTCACAACACCTTGACCGATGCTGACATGCGCCGGGGCATCAGTTTCTTTTGTTCGCGGAAGGGAACAAACATCTCCAAAGGTTTCTGGATAGAGAGACCAACTCGGAGTTCATTCGCATTCATGTCACCCCTTCAAGCCTTAAGAGGCACGTTGTTTCAGCCCACTTCTTGGAAAACCTCACTCAGTGGCCTCAAAGAAGTCCTCATCGGCTGTTTGGATGGGACACAGTATGGGAGACGGACCGCGGAAGCAATTCTTTGAAAGGTTTGAGTGGGGGGACCCAACTGAATGCGCGCAAGGACAACATGGACAATTGTGACATGTGGTTGGACGGTCCGTGGATTGGGCGCAGCCGCTTCAGCAAGATCAAAGAGGCGTGCGTCGCAACGGTGGCTGAAGGCAACGGTGGCTGAAGGCCCATCCACATGAAGAAGGCCCAGCTGGGCGGAGTTGGAAGAGATGGGAGTCGCTGCTCACCCAATTTGGTCGGTCCCGGAGTTGCGCTCAATCCTCATCGAGCAGCGACAGGCCAACGCCCTGGCAAAGGAGGAGGACAAGCTCAAAGGCCTCACCAAGATGACCCTGCAACAACCCAAGGTCGAGGCTGAGAACGAGAAGATCTCCATTCCGCCCACCGACCCGAGGACTCCTGACGCGCTTGTCCGGAGCACGCTGATCAGACGGCGGTTCGATTCGGGCGGTACAAGGCCTGGGTGTATACCACGAGGTGCCGCAACAGTATCATCGACTGGGCCATCATGCAGGGGGGCATTCCTCGGGCACCCAGCGAGAAACGGCTGGCAAAATTAGACCTCGCACGCCTCAGGCAAGGCCTGATGATCGAGGCTCAGCGCCAGTGGCGCAAGGTGAATGTGGGGAAGGACCTAGCCATCGGCCCAATGCCCTTTGAAGCCACCCTTGCATTGGCTACCAACAGGTGACCAGCTCGCCGACATCTTGACGAAACAGATGCGGGCTGATGAATGGTGGCGCAAGATGGACGAAGGGATGTTGGCGCTGTCTTTGAGAGGGCTTGCATGAAATTTCTAGAGAGAAGACCGTCTTCTTTTTCGTATGTGAAAGCACCACTTTCGTTGCCAGTCGTTCTTTCATGTTTGGCTTGAGCATGTTTCCATGTGGCCATAAAGGCACCAGAGTTCGTTGCTGTGTGCGGAAAACAGGTTCGTTTTCATGGCGCATGGTCACGGCTGCTGATTGACAGATGCCACATGTAACATGCTTGCTTCCACCGTATCTTAGTTATGCTTAGTTTGAAAAAGTCTGACGCGACATGTACTTGCTGTCGACGTAGCTTAACTTATTAGTTTGAAGAACTCAGAAGGCAACTAGGTCAGGTGTGGTGCGCCGTTGTGTTTCAAGCATCCTAGAATCCGCTCCGGACGCTCTTAGCGATCTTGCGGAAAGGTCTGACTTCTTTCCTGAGAAGGTTGAGATGCAAATTCGTTTGGCGGCATGTTTCCATTTGCTGGCGAATGTACAGGTTGCAATGGCCTCCACCCTAGTGGCGATGGCCTCCAACCTGGCACAAAAATGAAAAACAAAGGCCCAACGAACGAAGACACCCAGAGTCCCAACAACCCAACGAACAGAAGACAACGTGGCTTGTCGGGTGTACTGGACATGGTCCAGAGGAGTTTTTCAAAACATGGCCGGCCCGGGCCTCCGACAAAACTGCTGGACCCGGTGAAAAAACGCACGTGAATTTTGTGTGTTCCGCACTGACTGTTCGCTACTAGGAGCAAGAAACTATTAGGGGTTCCCGGCCTTACTACTAGGAGCGATCGGACGCTACGAACGGGGCTCCTGGCCTTACTACTAGTAATATGCTTACTACTAGTAACAAGGACGCTACTATTGGGTGAAGAAGCGCACGCTGATTCTGTCAAACTTTGTTTTGCACCTTGTGGAACTTGCCATGTTTGCTCGAACTTTCCAGCGGCAATGGCAAAGGATGGCGACGGATGCGACTCGGTTTCTAAGTTGGCAGTGTTGCACGAAATGTCTTATTTTTTAGCATTCTCTACCGTTGCTGCAAGTCTGGGATGCCAAGCTAAGAAAGTATAGAAACCCCAGGGCTGATGAGTTTACTCTTGTCCATTTTCCCACAACATGTTTCACTTTTCACAGTGCTTTCTCACTTTCTGAACTGATGGTGGAAGGCCGCTTCCCCTCAAGGTTTTGCTGTGGCAGGCCCTTTGTCTAGCGGGTCAGCCCCCCCTTGAGGTCTCGCAGGTGTGGCCCTATGCTCCCTGCTGCGCCCCCTGCCTGTATATACCCTCCTACTAGCATTTTATCCAACATAGAGGTTGGATGATTTTGACCCCTGGAGGGCATCAGTGTATCCTCCTTTTCACAGTAAAACGAATCGGACTTACCTAAAATCATAAAGTTTTGCATCATCAAGGCATACTTCCAGCGGCTTCGTTTGTTGAACCTTGTACATCAGGCAACCAAAACCAAAGTCCTAGAAGGTGCAGAAACCGTGAACTCCGAATGTCACTAGAGCCTACTCACGAGTTTGACATATGGCAAAACGTTTGTCTAGAATTCAATGGTAAGGCCACACCCAAGAAAGGTCTGAATGGAGTCGAATTGGTATGGTCGAATTGCAGGGACCGCCGAGCTTTGGCAAAACCTTTGCAGATCAGGCCCACTGGGTCATTGGGGAGTTTTGACCAGATG